GCTATAGGTTTTCCATATATGGCCTTTATTATGTCGAGATATGATCCCTCTATTCCCACATTACTGAGCATTTTTATTAGAAATGGGTGTTGGATTTTGTCAAATGCTTTTTCAGTGTCTATTGATATGATCCTATGGTTTTTATCTTTCCTTTTGTTTATGTGGTATATCACATTTATTGATTTGCTAATATTGTACCAGCTTTGTATCCCTGGGATGAATCCCACTTGGTCATGGTGACTAACTTTTTTGATGTATTGCTGGATCCAATCTGGTAATATTTTGTTCAGGATTTTGGCATCTATATTCATCAGGGATATTGACCTGTAGTTTTCTTTCTTTGAGTGTCTTTATCTGATTTTGGAAATAGAATTCTGCCAGCCTCATAAAATGAGTTTGGAAGTTTTCCTCGGGGTGTGTTGATTTTTTTTTTCTTTATCTTGAGATAGAGCGGGAGGGAGAGAGGGAGGAAGAGAGAGAGAGAGAAACATCAATGTGAAAGAGACACATTGACCGGTTACCACCCACACAACCCCAACCGGGCCAGGGACAAACTGCAACCGAGGTACGTGCCCTTAGTGGGAACCAAACCCGGGCCTCTCTGGTCTGCAGGCTGACGCTCTAACCGCTGAGCAAAACCAGCCAGGGCTGGGTGCCTTGATTTTTTTCAATTATATGATCTATTCAGTATTTAAGGTTTCCTCAGAACAAAGCTCAAGGAAATACAAAAGTGTTCATCATGTATTACTTAATATTTACTCATCCTACCTCACAAGATTGGTGTGAACAACACATAAATTTGAAAATCGTAAGGGACATGGCAAACTGTGAAGAATTATTCACATCTGTTGATATCGATACATGTTTGAATTGCATTTCAGCACTGAAAAGTTCAGGTGACTACTTTGACCCATTCCTATGAAAATATATGACACTTGTTTTGTTTTGTTTTTTAATAGCTTTATTGAGGTATAATTTATATACCATAAAATCCACTCATTGAAAGTATACATCTTACTTATTTTTAGTAAATGTACACAGTTGTGCACCCATCACTAGAATCCAGTCTTAGAACATTTTCATAACCTTCAAACTTTTCCTCATGCCCATTTGCAGTTAGTTAATCCCTTTTCTTACCACCAGCCCCAAGAAATCATTGATGTGTTTATGGTCTCTATAAAATTGCCTTTTATAGATATTTCCTGTACATGGAGTCATGCAAATGGAGTCTTTTACATCTGGCTTCTTTCATTGAGCGGATGCTTTTGAGAGTCATCCATGTTGTAGCATGTATCAGTACTTGGATCCCTTTCATTGCTGTGCAGTGTTCCCTTGTATGGGCATACCACATTTTATTTATCCTTCAGCTGGCAGGCATTTCTATTGTTTTGCATTTGGGGCTTATGAATAATGTTGCTATGAACATTCATATATGCATCTTTGTTGGGACATATGTTTTCACTTCTCTTGAGTAGATTCCTAGGAGTGAATTGTTGGGTTTATGGTAAGTTTATGTTTAACTTTTTAGGAAAGTAACTATCTGTAATCCAAAGTGGCTATATCATTTTATATTTCCATCAGCACTGTATGGGAGTTCCACTTTCTCTACATCCTCCCAATGCTTGATCATGTCTGTCTTTTGACTAGCTTTTCTAGTGGATGTGCAGTAATTTCTCATTGCAGTTTGGTTTGCATTTGCCTAATGACTAATGATGTTAAGCATCTGTTCATGTGCTTATTAGCCATTAGTATATCTTCTTTATTAAAATGTCTATTCAAATCTTTTGCCTATTTTTAAAAACTAGAATAATTGCCTTATTATTGAGTTAGACACCACTTATTTTTTTACCATTAATTACCATTTACCTTACACTGACTTGTGGCCTCTTATATTCTGTTGTCGTCCACTGTTTCTAAATTTCTATACCAGCGATTTTTCATCTCATTGCACACATAAACTAATTACTAAAATTCTGCGGCACACCAAAAATATATTATGATGTTTGCCGATTTGACAAAAAATAGGTATAATTTTGATTCGTCCACACTGATGGCGATTGCTTTGTTGACTGTTGTCATATTTTTATTTGACGATCTACAGGAAGAGAAGTCAGTGCCCCTGACTAAATAGTCAGTTACTGCATGTTTTAAAAATGCTTGCAGCACACTGGTTGAAATTGCTGTTTTATACTATGATTAAACTTTTAGTGTGATTAGGCTGGGGAAGGCAGGAGGGGGGTGGGAGCAGGAAGGAGGGGGTCAGTGGAGAAAAAAGGGGGACATCTGTAATACTTTCAACAATTAAAAAAAAAAAAAAAACCGCCCTGGCCAATTTGGCTCAGCGGTTAGAGCGTCGGCCTGCGGTCTAGAGAGACCCGGGTTTGGTTCCTGCTAAGGGCGCGTACCTCGGTTGCAGTTTGTCCCCGGCCCTGGTTGTTCGTACAGGTGGCAGCCACTCGATGTGTCCCTTTCACGTCGATGTTTCTCTCTCTCTCTCTCTTCCTCTCTCTCCCTCCCACTCTATCTGTACAAAATATGGAAAAATGTCCTTGGGTGAGGATAAAAAACAAACAAACAAACAAAAAAACCCTTTTAGTGTGAATATATTTTTTCTCCAAACTTGACTTTCAAAAAATTTTTATTGAGGTATAACTGACCTGTAAGATATGAGTTTCAGATGTGCAACATAATGATTTGATATTTGTGAATATATTGTATAATATTCACCACAATAAGTCTAGTTAACAGCTACCAGCATACATAGTTACACAGTTGTTTTTTCTGTTTTGTAATGAAAACCTTTAAGATCTACTCCCTTAGCAACTTTCAAATATGCACCAAAGTACTGTTAACTCTGCATTACAGCCCATGCCTTCCTTATTTTATAACTGGGAGTTTGTAGTGTTCGACTCCTCCACTTATTTTACCTACTCCCACCTTCATCCCTCGCCTCCAGCAACCACTAACCTGCTGTCTGTATCCATGAGCTCCTTTGTTTTTCCGTTTTAGATCCCACTTATAACTGAGATAATAAAATATTTATCTTAATCGGTATGGCTTCTTTTACTTAGCACAAGGCCCTTAAGGGCCATCCATGTTGTCACAAATGGCAAGATTTCCTTCTTTTTATAGCTGAATAATATTCCATTGTGTATATATATCCATGGATGGACACTTTCTCCAAACTTGGTTCTTAAACTCCCTCAAGAAGGCTAGCCCTTTCACTCTTTTTTTTTTAAATATACCAAACCTAGCAAAGTACTCTGAAAATAATACGTCCTCAATAAATATTTGTTGCATACGTGATAAAAAGCTCATTGTTTTTATGCAGCTATTGTCAGCACACCCCACATCATAATTTAGTAAGTTGCATTAAATTTTGTTTCTTGATCAATTCTTTTGAACATCAGAGGTTTTAGTTTTAAAAACATTTCCAAAGGGAGTACTTTAGTGTATAAACTTGAACAAATAAATTTAATTATCAGAGAAAAGTGATTCTGAGAAAAAAGTAAGATTTTATGGTAATTAATATGTTTCAATAAAATAAATTCAAATTTTTAGCCATTTTTTTCCTGCAAATGTTCCTGGATGTCTTAACAAAAATAGCAAAACCACAATTAATCACAAATGCATAATGCTCTCAAGTTAACCCATGTGTTAGAAGAAAGCAAACCAATACTTCACCCATCACCAGTACTCTAGACTCAAAAGATTTCAAATTATAAGTATAAATTTATACTTATGTATAAGCCTGAATATAAAACAAAAACAACTTTCCTAGTAAATAATGGGGGGAAAAACTTTTGAGCCTTGCCTGGAAGGGTGCCAAAGATATACACTTGAGAATATTTTAAGGTAATTAGCATTTTTGTCTCTGTGTCAGTAAAAATAGGCTTTTGCCTGCTACTAATTTTCTTTGGGTTAGTGAGACCATTGTATGAATGAAGGGCTGTTAAAGGCCATTTATATTGTGCAAACAGAGGCACAAATTGGAGAGGGCATGTTAATAAGGAGAGGGGGCTTCTGAGTGCTCAATTATGAGCCCAGAACCTGTTTCTATTTTAAGGGGATAGAAAACACATCAATCTTGCTTTTAGTATATTTTCAATTAAAATGAACAGCACAAGGCATACTAAGAAGCAGCGAAGGCTGTGGCCATGTGGATTTTGACTAATTCTTACATGCTGTCTTAGTATCAACACTGATATACGTATAATGGGCTGAAATATAATTTGAGATCCCAGAAGACCCAGGTCCCTGAGCTGCATAAGAAATTCTAAAGGAAAAGAAATCTAAAACTGGACCATCTGCTTCACTTTTCAGCATGCAACCTTTAGAGTAGAATATTTGGAGGAGGATGCTGTTTAAAACCTGAATAGGGATGAAATATGGTACATATACTCACAACATATCATTAACTTCCTCTCTCCTAAGCATAATCAATAGCAGTGGGCAAGCCTAGTTCTGCATGTTAAAAACAAAGCACAGTGTTAGCTGCAGGGAGCGTTCAGTTTTCCCCACACCCAGACAATCCTGAGTAGATGACTCTCCGGCCCCAGGCAGCGCCTCCTGCCTAATTAGGGTGAGCAAAGGGAGGCATCCACTCTGCATAGGCAAGTGTTTGGGGAATCTAATTATACTTTGCATACGCAACTCCCTGTATAAGCCTAGTTTGCCCCTGCTGTAGCCAGTAGTACTTCCAGGGGCCTAATATCATGTATTTTATATGTGTTCATAAAAACATTTCAAGATATTGTCCCCACAAAGCTACCTTTTCCCCTATGTGAAATATCTATTTTAGAATGACAGCTAACCAGGTTGCCAGTGTTCAAATAATGTTCATAAAGTAGAAAAGCACAAAATAAAACCATGAAGGGTAGCAGGAATGAATGTGTTTGGTCTCAAAACAGAGAAACCAATACCTCCAATGCTATTCAATAAGCCCAGTGCTGAACTTCTCAAACCATGATTGTATTGGATTTTTGACTTTTTTTTTTCAGGTGGTGCTAGTCCTCTCTTGAAACCTCTGTAACTATTAAGGCTGAAGTGCCATTTAAAGAAAAAAAAGAAGGCAAAGAAATGAGCAATGAGAAGCTACGGTGAGTCATTTGTCAATGTACTCTGTCTTGAGTTTGTTGAGGAAGCAGGCTTCAGGGTGTGGGATCATAGGCTTTATTTTAAATTTGTCTGTTATAACCTGAAAGCTTTCTTCAAGGGAGATACATAGGGTTCATGTCTGTATACAATGTCTGTTGCTATGGAAAAGTTTATACTTAACCATATTACAGTGTTCTGGTAGGAGCAGGGAGACGGGGGGTATCAGTTCATCTTTTTCTGGAAACCATATGTTTTATAGGATAAAACAAAACAAAAAACATATACAGCACATATTTCTGGCATAAGAGAACAATTTTTAAAGGCCTTTTTTACATTGAATGTATCAAGGAGCTACTCTACATTCTGAGATCTATAGTAGGTTCTTGCTACAGAACTTAGTTATAATGTAATACATGTCAATTACTTGCCATTTATTATCTAGGCTCCTCTGATATTTCCATCTCTAAATTCATTTCCATGTTGCGTTTCTCATTTCCACCCGAATATCTGCTGTTGGCTCCACAAGAAAGCTATCCTGTTAGCATGTTTTCTAGTGTTCTGTTCTTGGTGAGCAATTTCAACACAGTAAGATTGTACTATAAATGCTTGCTGTTGATGAGCCCTCTGAAACGGAAAGGTGGAGGCTGCCTGAATATTAAAATCTGGGCTGTTCTAGAACAATTCAACAATTGCTTAGACACAATCTGAAATTTTTCAGTTCTCCTGTTTTTCTTTGTATCAAAGTTTGCAAAGTATTGTCTCATTATTGATTTATTTATTTTAATCCTTACCCGAGGACATTTTTGCATTTATCTTCAGATAGAGTGGGAGGGAGAGAGGGAGGAAGAGAGAGAGAGAAACATGGATGTGAGAGAGACACATCGACTGGCTGCTACCACACAACCCCAACCAGGGCTGGAACAAACTGCAACCAAGGTACGTGCCCTTAGCAGGAACCGAGCCAGGTTCTCTTTGGTCTGTGGGCCGATGCTCTAACCACTGAGAAAAACGGGCCAGGGCCTTTTTTTTATTGATCCGGTGACCTCCTGGTGAATGGGTTGATGCTCAACCACTGAGCCACACTGCCGGGCTAATTTTGCTTTTTTTTAACTCAGAAGAATTTTAAATGGTAGAATCTGGGGCAATGTGGCTGGTCATTTGAAAAATAGGTGGGGTTGCATGCCTTTCCCATGTCCCATAAATAATCCCATTAAAAAGTTAACCTGGCCACTGGGGCTCAGTGGTTGAACATCAACCCATGCACCAAGAGGTCACTGGTTCGATTCCTGGTCAGGGCACATGGCTGGATTGTAGGCTCGATCCCCAGTAGGGGGCGTGCAAGAGGCAGCAAATAGATGGTTATCTCTCACATTGATGTTTCTATCTCTTTCTCCCTCTCCATTCTTCTCTAAAAATCAATAAAATATACATATATATTTTAAATGAGTTTTGGCCCTGGCCAGTTTGGATCAGCAGTTAGAGCATCAGTCCATGGACCAAAGAGTTGTGGGTTCGATTCTGGTCAAGGGCATGTACCTCGGGTGCAGTGCAATTCCCGGCCCTGGCCCTGGTCAGGGTTGTGCAGGAGGCAACCAATCGGTGTGTCTCTCTCATATCAATGTTTCTCTCTCTCCCTTCCTCCCTCCCTCCCTCCCTCTCTCTCTTCCACTCTCCCTCCCTCCCTGTCTCCCACTCTATCTGAAAATCAATGGAAAAACATCCTTGGGTGAAGATTAGGAAAAAAAAAAAAAAAGAGTGTGCCCTGGCCGGATGGCTCACTTGGAACATCATTCAGGGCACCAAAGGGTTGAGGATTCAATTCCTGGTCAGGGCACATCCCTGGGCTGCAGCTTCAATCCCCATTTGGAGTGTATCGTGGGGGCACAACTGATCGAAGTTTCTCTCTCTTTTCCTTCCTCTCTCTCTAAAAATCAATTTAAAAAAAATAAGTTTGCTCGTACCTGAGAGGACAGCTTTGCCTTCCCATATAATAACTAGGATTCTCTTTGTCCATTGTCCTGCTGAAAGCTACTTTGGATTCTAGATAATATAAATGAAAAAGAGTTTGTCTGAATGTATATTTGTTCCCTATATTAAAATCTGTTTCCTTTATTAACAATTCTTCCATGTTAGTCAATGTAGCAAGAGGGTTAAAATAGCTTTGCTAATTCACCCCAGTATATGCAAGGCTTTACTAGTATTCCAAGTATAATAAATGTAGACGTATAGAAAAAGACAAAGAGCTCGTTTTGCACACATCCAAAGTGATACCCGAGGTTTCGGCGAGACCTGGAATTCATTGTCAGGACTTGGCATTGATCCACAGCCAGTGGAGCCATGATTAGGCCTGTTTGCTTTACTCAGAACATAATTTGGTACTGTCAAGTCAATCTGGCTACAATTGAATAGAATTTTTTGTTCTTTAAAGGTTTGTTTTTCACATTTCATTTATATACTGTCTCTAGTGAGGTCAAATTCCTCTGTAAATATTATCTAATTTATTCTCGTAACATCTCTGAGAGATCAGGGGCATTTCTCTTTATTATTAGCATCTGGTGTTAGGAGATTCACATTTACTTTGTTGGGAATCACCGGGAATAAATCTCAGAGAGACACTAATGGAAAATATAATAGGAGATAAATATAGGTATATCTGCAAATGAAGATATTTTCCCACCTTTGAAATCTGTTGACTAAAAAGATAAAAAGTGGAACAACTTATGATGATTGAATAGTAATAAAAAGCAGCATTTAATCTAAATCTCTTTCCCATGATTACAGCATGCTAAATATTGCTCAATACTAGAGAGCCTGCTGATGAGCTATGTAAATGTTTTCCAATAAAATTAAATAGATTAGAATTGGAAAGAGAATGTTAATGTTTCTAAGGCTTTTTAAGAGTCTTTGCTAAAAACTTTTCTGAAAAACACAGTTTAAGACTATGTCCCAGGGTCATCAGCCCTAGCAGAGTGACCGCCGTCATGTCCATAAGGGCAGAACAGGCAGCCGCCGCCACTGTGTTTGAGAAGTTCTTGTCATCTGTGATCCTTTATTGTTAATCCTCTTCATGTATTTTGCCTGCTACTTTGTTTTGGTTGTCAAAGTTTGTTACTGAGACAAGACTAAGATCATCCTATTCTAACTGTCACAGACTGAGTTGGTATGACGCACCATGAGGTGAGTCTAATTGCTGTTAATATTGGAAGGATGAATAATCCTATTAAAAAGAAAAACAGTTATAAAAAAATAAATAGGTGGAGGCAAGTCTAGATTACATGAAAGAAGGACAGCTTGATGAGGGGAAACCCATTAACCTGAAAGGAAACAGTTCTTTGCTTCCAATTTAGCGGTTCTGAGCAGTACTACATTCATCCGAAATGGAAATGGAAACAATGTTTCTGATTCATTTGTAGACTTAAATATTAGGTTTTTTTATATGGGGAAAAAGAGACCCTACTGTGATTCCTAATTGTTGACAGAATATCGAATGCCACGTTAGGTTTATGGGAAAACCTTCACCTTGTTCCTGAGTATTATTAAGTCAAAAGAGGTAACTTTACTAGGTAGAGAGCACAGTACTTGAAACCAGTGCTTCTCAAACTTGAATGTACACAGGCCATCATTTAGGGATCTTAATAAACTGCAGGTTCTGATTTGGCAGCTTTGGGATGGGGCCAGCATCCTGCACTGAAGAAGCCCCCAGGAGATACCCATCCTGCTGATTCAGGACCACTCTTGGAAAAGGCAGCTCCAGACAAATATTATAAAAAGAAATCACAAATGCGACATGACTTGCTTGCCATCATTTCAGGAAATTAGATGGCATTGGGATAACAATACCCATTTGCTTTGCAAATGGGAATGAAGAGAATGAGCCAATTTAAAGTTTCAAGGCCTCTTTGAAGGACAACTTGAATTATGGGTAGGGTTGAAGCTGTAATGGAACAGTCTGGAAAGGCAGGAAGTCTCCTGGTTCCCACTGGACTTTTGTTCATAGCCTCCTTTAATCCCTCCCTTCCCTGTGATCATAGTTATTAGATGGCTATTAGAAAACATGGAGCCCTGGCCGGTTTGGCTCAGCGGTTAGAGCATCGGCCCAGGGACCACATAGTCCCAGGTTCGGTTCCGCTGAGGGCACATACCTTGGTTGCAGTTTGTCTTCAGTCCCAGTTGCGGTCGTGTGGGTGGCAGCCACTGGATGTGTCTCTCTCACATCGATGTTTCTCTTTCTCTCTTACCTCATCTCTCCCTTCTGTTCTATCTGAAGGCAAATGCAAAACAAAAACAAAAAGAAAACATGGAAATACTATTTTTATACAATAGACTTCACTACTTGAATTCATGATGCCTTAGTAAGAGAGAGCATTATAGTTCTGCTCCTCCGTCCTGCTACAGACCAAGTTGTTAAGAGAATGTGGAATGCTGTGAGGACCTCATAGCAAGCATGTTTCACCCATTTAGTCTGCCCAGGACATGCTGCTTATTGGTAGTTACATACTGGAAGATCATTTGACACTCCCCAGCATGAAGTCTGGTGTTGTGGGCTCTCAAATGCATTAATCTTAATCGAACATCAGATAGCTGAATAAGAAGGAGAACATTGAATTACTCTGAATAATTAAGAGTGCATTTGAGCCCTGGCTGGGTGGCTCAGTTGGTTGGAGCATCATCCCATACACCAAAAAGGTTTCAGGTTTGATTCCTGGTTAGGGCACATACCTAGGTTGCAGGTTTGATCTGTGATTGGGGTGTGAATGGGAGATAGCCGATTGATGTTTTTCTCTCACATTGATGTTTCTCTCTCTCCCCGTCCTGTCTCTCTAAAATCAATAAAAACATATCCTCAGGTGAGGATTAGAATCTAAAAAAAAAAAGTACATTTGAGTCAGGCAAGCTTTAAATGGGGAAAATGTGTTTCAGAAACTTGACAACATGTTAAGTATTCTGAATTTTGGGTGATCGCAAACTATCATTTCTCACTCACATGGTAAGTAGGTAGGTACAGCATAAACCTGAAAAACAGATGGTGGGAAAATAAATTGCAGCAACATGGGCAGTATGTGCATGTATTAGTCTGTTCAAGCTGCTATGACAAAATACAATAGACTGATTAGCTTAAACAACAGGCATTTACTTTTCAATTCTGGAGGCCGGGAAATCCAGGATTAAGGTACTGGCTGACTTGATTCCTGGTGAGTGCCCTCACCCTGGTTTGCAAATAGCCACCTCTTCCCTGTGTTCTCAAATGACAGAGAGAACAATTTCCCACCCTCCCTCTTCTTCTTCTTTTAAATCCTCACCGGAGGATATTTTCCCACTTATCTTCATACAGAATGGGGCTGGGGTGCCTTGAGAATTGTTGCATAGGCCTTGCAGCATTCTTTTTTTTGGGGGGGGGGCAGTATATGTTACGGAGGTATCTGCTGTCCTTTTCATTTTTGTTGTGCTGTTTCTGCAACCTTGACATAAACAAACTCTTTTTATTCACGGGCTTCCACAAGAAACCTAATGGGACTGATACAAAGACTCACTAATGATTTGTTGTGGCATTGTAAAGACTTAAGTCCCATACTGTGTAAACTTGCACCCCACAACCTCACTGAACATCTCTTGTTCTTACATCTTACATCATTTCTGTCCCAGGATTCACCTATCGGGATACACTCTAATGAAAGAGTTGCAATAGAAATGATTTTTTTAAAAATTTGGCAAAGTAATTAAAGACACAGTTCTGAGCAAGGCTTCAAATCTTCCTGAATATTCTATCCCTTATATTCTTAATTTATTTTATTCTAAAGATTTTATGAGACATGAAGATGGTCATCATTATTCTTTGAGTTTTCGTTGTTCTTTCCTAATTTTTTCTTCTTTCTGAAACATAAATCTATCTTTGAAGTAATGACTATGTATTAAAGTTACATCAAACAACTACCTTAAGATTAAATCAAATAGAAGAATGCACTTTCTTTGGGAAATTGATTAAATCCAGTTTTCCTAGTGAGAGATGTAAATAGAAATGATTTTAAATCAAGTTCAACCTGGATAAGGGGTCTACTGGTAAAACTAGGAACATCCTTTTAAAATAAAATGTTTATTACACTTTCTTGAAAAAACATCTTTAGTATGTATGACAAGGTGGTAATTTTCTTGATATCCAAATTTTCTTACATATCAATAAAAAGGTAAACAAGTTGATTTAAAAAACAATAGATAAATAGTTTGCAGGGAAAAAACTGGTAAGCATATACAAAGTTCAAGCTCAGTTATAACTGAAGAAATGAAAGCTTCTAAAATTGGGAAGTGAAATTTCCTCTTTCATATTGCTAAGGGCAGAAATATCTGCTGTGGGTGTGGGAACACTACTGTCTCCTCCCACCAGTAGCCGTATAGACAGAGACAACCCTTTTAGAGAACAATTTGGCAGGATGTATTAAACTGTAACGTATAAATGTTACTTTTAACTTTAAGTACATCCTTTGATCTTCCAGTTCCATTTAGAAATTTAACCTATAGTTTTTTTTTTACACACATGAACAAGAATAACCATCGCCCCATTATTTGTAAATAGCCAGCAACCAGCTGAAGGCCCATCCATTAGGATCCTGTTCTCTTATATGTTATGGCACATCTGTGCTTGTGTGCAGATGTTTAAACGAAGGAAATAGAGCTATAGAAAGAAGTCCAAGATAAATAGCTTGTGCAAAAAAAAAAAAAAAAAAAGCAAGTTGGAAGAGAACATGCATAACATGATCCATTTGTCTAAAATAAATTAGTATTTTATGTATATGCTTTGGAAAAAAGTCTGGGAAGTGGGTGAGAAGCACTTTTGCTTTGTACATTCTTCTGTTGCGAACCATTTATTTAATTTTTTTCCTTTGTTTTTGGTTTTGTTGTTGTTCTGTTTTGTTAATTTCTTTGTTTGCTTGTCTGTTGCCATGAGCACATGTTATTCTTAAAAAGTGTGTAGCCAGTTGTGAAAGTCATTCTCACCTATATTAAATAGTTTGTTTTAATTGTCCGTAAATCTTTTGGGAACCACCACATATAGGTTTTTCCCAACGACAGGAACAAGATTAAGCGCATCATCAGCCTCTCTTCCCTCTTCTACCTCGGGGCACCCCTGGTGGCGAGACTCTCCTTGAACCGTTGACTAAAGAGATAAAGGGCCTGTGCGGTCAGAAGAAGAGCTGAGGGCCATGTGCATGCCAGGTCTGAGGGAAAGTGGGCTTGAAAAACCAAAATTAAATGTGCTTTTGCAAAGAATCTATGCTGGCCCTGGGCAGGCAGCTCAGTTGGTCAGAGCATTATCCCGATTCACCAGGGCCCCGGTCAGGGCACATACAAGAATTAACCAGTGAATGCATAAATAAGTGGAACAACAAGTTGATCGCTCGCTCTCTCTCTCTCTCTCTCTCTCTCTCTCTCTCTCTCAATTAATCAGTAAAAAGAACATTTTAAATAAAAAACCTGTGCTTATGCTTTCGTGCAGTCTGTCGTCTTCTCCCAGACCATCTCACATAGCAGCTGTTACAAGAAAGAGAAAGTGGAGAGGAGTTAAAGGCTCAGAATGAAGCCGATATTTTGGAGCTCACTTGAGTAGGAATGTCCAGTTCCACATCACCTCCCATTCTAAATAGCAGCAACAACCAGAAACAAGTGTTTTGCTTCTGATCATGTAGATTTCAGTGATATGTTGAAAAGATATATTCACACTTATAGGAGTGGGGCTTTTGCAGACTGAAAAGCACCTATGAGATGCTTACAAGTACTTATTTCAGTGGGATTTCTCTGTTATTGGACTCAATGCACTGAAAAAACAAACATAAGAGAAATAGGTTGTTCTAATAGCTGTTTTATTTATTCCTCTGATTTTCCTATTTGATCAAGTTATCTCGCAAACTCCTTTGTAGGTTCAAATTTATTTTAGTAGGCAGCACATTGGTTGAAGCTGCTTTTCAATAAGGAGGGATTAAACTGCCCTCTTTCTAATTGCTTTCTGAAGCCCTCCCTTCTTCCTAATCTCACTGTAGTTTCTTAAGAAATGAGGCACTTACATATCCCAAGGGGTTAAATGGAGATTTCTGCTGCAGAGGGTGAAGGAGGGAATTTGCTGCATTAATCATTGAATAACATCCATCACACATCCACTTGGGCAGTTAAATTTCTGTTGAACAAAGTACGGAAGTACCTGGGGAATGTCTCCCTCTTTGTAAGTGGTGTCATTAGACATCTGTCGTGAAGTCCTTGTGAAAATAGATTTGGGGCTGCAAACAAAGTCATTTTAACTCTGGCACGATGCTAGGCACCCAATGAGCAATATTCTAGCAAATTTATTGAGTGAATAAATTCCAAAATAAATTATTGCACCAGTTCCCTAAGCAGACTATTAATTACATTTTATCCAAACTTGTATGCTTATTGCAGCAAGAATTATCTTCCTTCAGCACCATTTTGATTTTTCAGAAACTACAATAGGTCCAAACTTTTTTTTTCTTTATTGATTTTAGAGAGGGAGAGGAAGGGAGATGGAGAGAGAGTTAGAAACATTGATGAGAGGGAACATTGATTGGCCGCCTCCTGCATGCCCCTCACTGGGGATCAGGCCCACAACCTGGGCATGTGCCCTGACCGGAATTGAACCAGTGACCTCTTGGTACATGGGTCAATGCTCAACCACTGAGCCACACTGGCCGGGCTAGGTCCAAACTTTTGCTCACATAAAATCTGTATTGCTGATCCATGTTGGAAGGGCTTCTAAGAATTGGTTCCTTTCTCCCTAATTTCCCTCTTGAAAAATTATTGTACATTCACATTATCCTTGCTAGCCTGGAACACATGTGAATCTGCCTTATAATTTGCTTTCTGCAGTCCAGACGCTGCTTCTGCCCTGGGCGGTGCCTTGTTCCCTCTCCCTTACCGTCCGATCCATCGCATTCTGCTCCCTCTGTCATTCGTCATCCCAGCCCACTCTGCACATGTAAGCACGGAGCAGTGTCCTGATAGTCACGACTTACAGAGTTCTATTTCTGTTTTACACGACTCTGTGTCAATGCAGTGTAGTCTTAATTTAGTGGAATATAAGCACAATGTAGGCAAAGGCTTTTATAACTCTCTCACACTCACCAAAATGATTAACATTAACAAGGGCTTCAGGACCTAGATCCCAGGGCATGATAACATCTCAGAAAAAGAGCAAAGTGACTTCGCTTAAAAGTAAAAAAATATCTGATGGGTCCTGTCAGTATCATATTGTGTCAATAATGAAAAAGTGTCAAATATTTGCAAATCAATATGAAATTCAAATAAAATTTCCAATTCTCACATATCTATTTTTTTTATTATTTTACTGTAATATTAAGAAAAAGCATTCTAAAATTCATCTTGAGAAAATTTTAAGAAGTTTATTAGGGAGGACATATATCAGTTTATTATACAAATATTTAAAAGGTAGAATAATGAAATGACACTGGTAGAATAATAGATATGTTGATCAACAGAACATGACTGAGAGTTTAAAAATGATCTATGTACATGAGGACAATTTAGTTTTTCCTAGAGATAGCATTTTGTGTCAGGGGATAAAGGATGACTTATTCAACAAAGTTTGAAATATTTGATTAACTATTTAGAAAAATAAAAATGTGGATCCCTACCAAATAACAAAATAAATACTAGATAGGTTAACAATTTCAAATAAGTCAAATCAAAAACAAAATAACACATCAAAGTATTGGTGGATATTTAGGCAGATATTTCTATAATCTGTAAGAAGAGAGGGCTTTCTAAAAATAATACCAGAGACAAAAAAAATGAGGAAGAAAAATCCTGATAAAGTTTTAAAATTCTGCATAAAACACCATAAACAATATTTAATATAATAAACTAAAGACAATATTTATAATATGTAAGGCAAAGAGTTAAATACTTAGTCTTAGTAAGTAAAGAGTATTTTAAAAATCAATTAGAAAAAGAATGCCTTGATACACAAATGAGCAAGGAACTTTTTAAATATATTTTCATTTAATTTTTTTTAGAGAGAGAGGAAGGGAGAAGGAGAGAGAAACATGCATTGACTGCCTCCTCCACACCCCCCGCTGGGGATGGAGCCCAAAACCCAGGCATGTGCTCCAACCAGGAATCAAACTGGTGACCTCTTAGTGTGTAGGACATCGTTCAACCCACTGAGCCACATGGGCCAGGGAGCAAAGAACTTTTAAAAAGCAACATAAGCCTTGCCGGTGTGGCTCAGTGGATTGAGCACCATCCCATGGACTGAGAGGTCCAGGTACAAGCCCCAGTCAGGGCACGTGCCCGGGTGGCAGGCTCCATCCCTAGTAGGGTTCATGTGGGAGGCGGCTGATTGATGTTTCTCTCTCACATCAATGTTTCTCTCTCTCCCTCTTCCTCTCGCTCTAAAAAAAAAAAAATTAATTAAAAATTAAATAAGTAACATTTAAAAAGCAACATAAAAAAGAATAACACAAATGGCAAACAAATATTTAAAAATATTTAAACATCCTAGTAATCAAAAAAGACTACTTGATAGGAAAAATTGGAAAGAATGTTCTCTCTTCTCCCACATTATCTGTTTATTAGTTTCACCTGTTTTTAAATAGCTCCCCAAATTAGCCTTTATTATTAACGTTGTGGGATATCCCATAGGTAGCATTTCTCTTTCGCTCGGGAATTCAGAACCAATACAGAGAAAAAAAGGGGGAGAGAGTCAGGAATAAGAGACTGCAAAGCCAAATATAATATTAGCTTTATTTTATATAAAGTTGATTGGAGACAGTGGTTTTAGGTCTAGGGCCAGATGGGCTTGCTGATACTTTGTTTCTGAATTAGATGGACTTGGCCCCCGATGGCACAGTGAGGCAGCAGCAGGTCTCCCTAACAAGGCTGGTTCTCAGCACCTGGACACAGGCATACCAGCAGGTTCCTTCTCGAGGGCAGGCTCCTCCGGAGGAGAGAGAATAGCAGGGGCTGAGCCAAGCATGTAGAGCTCTTCCGACTGCAGAGTCTCCCTTCATGCCTTTGGGAAGAATGGTTAAGGGTACAGAGAGAAATTAAGACTGTTTTTATAGTCCGGCTGGTGTGGCTCAGTGGTTGAGCGTTGACCCATGCACCAAGAGGTCACCGGTTCAACTCCCGGTCAGGGCATGTACCCTGGTTGTGGGCCCAATTCCCAGTGGGGGGCATGCAGGAGGTGGCCAGTCGATCTCTCTCTCATCGATGTTTCTATCTCTCTCCTCTCCCTTCCTCTCTCTCTAAAATCAATAAAGGGAAAGAAAAAAATATATTGTATCACTTGTGGAGATTGAAGTAGAACTTTTCTCCCTCCTGTGGACAGATGAGTGGGAAGTAATTGTTCCCCTAACAGTTATTACTATTATTGCTGTTTTGTTAATGTTGTTTTCTATAGTCTGTGCTGAAAGTGAATTTACTATGTAATGTTTTAGCTTCAGGGCCTTAACTTGATGGAACCTCCCAAGGCTCTGAAACCAGGAGGAAGCAGCAGCCCCAAGAGTTAGAGGAACGGAGTCCCGCCTGCCCAGAGGCCAGTCTTCTTGCTTTGGTGGTGATCTTGGAGCTGCGGGAGAGGGATGCATGGGCACTGGACCCCATGGAGCCTCAGCATCGTGCCCAAAGAGGCGACTCCCACTGTTCCGCTCTGAACCTGAGGGCCATGTGACTTGGCACACTCACCGCTGAGAACTGCCCCGGCAGGGTGGGGGTGGGGGGATAGGGTGTGGTGAAACTCAGCGACCTTGATCAGCTTGCTGTGACAGTCAGATCAAAGGGTTGGAGTTATCTGAAGACTCCCCAGCCAACAACAATAACAAATGTGAAGCTAAAATAAACTTTTCTGAACTATGGCTGATTTTATTGTAAAGGAACAAATTTTGACCAACTGTGTTAGAAGACTGATTTATCTTTCTACTTTTTTATATAGGATGATATTTAAAAGTAGTTTTCACATCCAGAGATGGACCAAGAGTATGTAGCCAAAAAATTATAGGGAATAAAATGTATTATAGAGGAGGTAAAATTATAATAAAATGTAATATATTCCTGAATTTTGTAGCATTTAGCTACAATTTAAATTTTTAATTTGCTGTGATTTCTATTCTTATTCAAAGGAAATGTAAACGTTTATACCTCATTATTTATTAATACTTTTCTTAGAAAGGGTTTCCCAAATTATGAAAGTTCTATATCCTACAAAACGTGGATCCACCCTAGTTTTTAGTTATAAAAAATATTTGCAAATTTCTTTGCTCACCTCTGCCCCGTGGCTTCCACATCTTTTCTCAAGGTCCATTGTTCTTCTCAATCAAGCACATCTTTTAGTAGTTCTCCTCGTGAAGGTCTGTTAATGGTAAACTTTGATAGGGTCAGAATTTAGCCCTAACTCTTAAATGAAACTTAGCTGGGTAAAGAAAACTTATATTTGAGATTTTCTTTTTCTCCTTTCAGCAGTTAGAGTTGTTATTTCTCTTCTGGGATTTGCCATTGTTGCAGAACAATGTACTTTTTCTCTTGAGGACGACCAGTCTGTCCTCCCTGTCTTTTCAGTCTTTTGTGATCTGTAGTGAAACTCATCCTTCCAGGTTTGAATTTTTTTTTTTCAATCCTCACTCGAGGATATTTTCCCATTTATCTTCAGATAGAGCGGGAGGGAAGGGGAGAGAGAAAGAGAGAGAGCGAAATATTGATGTGAGAGATAGACATCAGTTGGTTGCCTCCCGCACAAGCCCTACCAGGGCTGGGGACCCAACCGCAAGCGAGGTACGTGCCCTTCACTGGAAACAAACCCAAGGCTCTTTGGTCTTCGTGTCGATGCTTCAACCACTGAGCCAAACCAGCCAGGGCTGAATCTGTTTCTGTTCAACCTTTGAGGGCCTTGGTATACTACAATCTGAGAACTAATGTCATTTTTCAGTCCTGAGAGAGTGTCTTTGTTTAGCATTCTATCTTTTAAATGGTTTTTAATGAGTCCTGAGCAGATACAAAACAATACATTAAAAAGATATGTAAAGTATGCCCTGGCTGGTGAGGTTCAGTGGTTAGACTCGGCCCTTGAACCAAAGAATCACAGGTTCCATTCTGGCCTGGTTGAGTTGCGTGTGGGAGACAACCAGTCAATATGTCTCTCTCACATTGATGCTCTGTCTCTCTCTCTCCCTCTCTTCCACTCTCTCTAAAAATCAATGGAAAAAATATCCTTGGTTGAAGATTAACACACGCACATGCACACGATATGTAAAGTATAGCCCTGGCTAGTTTGGCTCAGCAGTAGAGCGTTGGCCCGCGGCCCAATGACTCACGGGTTCAGTTCCGGTCCAGGGCACGAACCTCGGATGCAGTTCATCCCGGGCCGTGGCCGGGGTCGTGTGGGAGGCAGCCAGTCGATGTGTCCCTCTCACGCTGATGTTTCTCTCTCTCCCACTTTCTCCCCCCTCTCTCCCTCACACTCTGTCTGAAGGTAAATAGAAATATATCCACAGGTGAGGCTTAAAAAAAAAAAGTAAGGTATAAAGAATGAGAAAAAACAAAAAAGAAAACTAGTACAACACTTAAATACTCACCATTGAGCATAGGCCAGAACAGAAAGAGCAATACCATTACTTTTAGGTTCCCCTATACACCATCCCCAACAAACCCACCTATTTATACCTCATTGTCTAGCAATACTTTTCTTAGACAAATTATGAAACTTTATGTCCCACAAAGCATGGCTCCACCCTCCCCCTTCAGAGGCCACTATTATCCTAAACTTACTATTTACAATTTCTTTGTAGTTTCACAAAGTTCATATATGGCAGTGCATGTTTTAAAATGTTGTATCAGCCCGGCTGGTGTGGCTCAGTGGTTGAGCATCGACCCATGCACCAAGAGGTCACTGGTTCGATACCCAGTCAGGGCACATGCCCAGGTTGTGGGCCAAACCGCCAATGGGGGACATGCAGGAGGCGGCCAATCGATGTTCTCTCTCATCCATGTTTCTCTCTCCGTCTTATTTACTCTCTCTCTAAAATCAATAAAGGAAAAAGAAATTCTTTTTTATCCTCACCCAAGGACACTTTTCCATTTTTTGTTCAGATAGAGGGGGAGGGAGAGAGAGAGCGCGAAACATCGACGTGAAAAGGACACATCGAGTGGCTGCTTCCCAACCAGGGCCGGGGACAAACTGCAACCAAGGTACGTGCCCTTAGTGGGAACTGAACCCGGGTCTCTCCGGACCACAGGCTGATGCTCTAACTGCTGAGCCAAACTGGCCAGGGCAAGAAATTTTTTTTAATAAATAAAAAAATTTTAAATGTATCAGTGGACTGATGCTGTATGTATTCTTCAATTTGTTTTGTCCACTCAAAATTATATTTGTGAGATTCTACTGTATCATTGAATATAGCTATAATTTACTCCTACTCAGTACTAAATAGTATTCCATCACCCATATTTTATTTATTCTACTGTCAACAGGCATTGGTTTGTTTCTAGTTTTTTACTAGTCAGCATAGTGCTACTTTAAGCATTTGCAAAGATGCTTCTGGAACAGGATAATTGCCCCAGACTTTATGCCCAGGAGTGGAATTGCTAGGTCATAGAGTATGGGAAGCATCATAAAGAAACATTGGTTTCCCAAGTAATGGTACTAATTTACACTCCCATCAGCATGGGAGACTGCTTTGCTCCCTGTGCCTGCCAATGCATAGTTTCAGATTTTAATATTTGCCAGTTTTGAGGATATGCAATGGTAAGTCGGAGTAGAATTTGTATTTTTGGTATTGGTAATGAGATTGAATGACATTTTATTTTTATTTATTTATTTATTTATTTATTTATTTTAAACTATGTTTTTATTGATTTTTTTAGAGGGAGAGAGAGGTCGAAACATCGATGTGAGAGAGAAACACCAATCAGCTGCCTCCTGCACGCCCCCCTACTGGGGATTGAGCCTGCAACCCTGGGCATGTGCCCTGACTAGGAATCGAACTGGGACCTCTCAGTCCATGGGACAACATCCACTGAGCCACACTAACTGGGCTTGAATGATATTTTATAGGTTTATTGACCATTTATGTTGTCTTTTCTGTAACATGCTTCTGTAATTCACTTGACCACCCTCCCCTTTTTTATTGGTTTGCCTTTTTCTTATTGATTTGTAAAACTTTTTTACATATTCAGGATATAAATACCTTGACAATTATATTTTTAGCAAATATCCTCCCATCTATGACTGGTCTTTTGATGAATGGACATTGTTAATTTCAATGTAGTCAAATATGTCCATTTTTCCTCTGTGGTTTTCAATTTTTATTTCCTGTTTAAGAAAATGTTTATATTCCTGATATCATAAAAGTATTCTCCAATATTGATTTCTAAAATTTTTATAGTTTTGTATTTTACATATGGCTTATTAATTCACCTGAGTTGATTTTTTTTGTATATGATATGATGAAGGGGTATAAGTTCTAATTATCGTATGTGTCTTATCAGTGTTTGTTTTCATATGCATGTGTCTGATCTCCCGTCTCGTTATAAAGATATATTGTGACACTCAGGAAAATGGTATTCTGAGAGAAATTTACATTCTTAATATTTTAAAGGCTGAAAATTTAGTACCAATGTTTCTAAATTTGAAAGTTAAAGAAATAATAACAGAAAACTCACAAAGGAAGTAGAATAAGAAGCAATATAAAGATAAAAGCAGAAACCAATTAAATAACCATCATATAAATGATAGATCAATTAAACAGAAATCATATTAAATAATAGGCTCAAGGAAGGCAAAATATTGTTCTTTGAATAGTAACAAAATAGATTAATTTTGGTAAGACTAGTCAAGAAAAAGAGAAAAGGCACAAATAAATATCAAATTGATAAAGGTGTAATAAGTTGAGATGCAACAGAGATTTAAGAGATAAAGAAATGCTTTTCATTAACTTTATGCTAATAAGATGGGAAATTTAGGAGAAAACATGTAAATTTCCAGGAAAAAATGTATATTGATTTGCATCTATCTTGCTAAATTCTCTTATTAATTCTAATAATTTCTCTGTGGGTAATTGTGAGTTTTATATAAAACAACCATACAGTATGTGAAGATAACAATATTTTTCTTCCCCCCATTGTCACTTAGATATCTATTTTGGAACTTCTCATTTTGTCTTCCATGTCTTATAACTCTTTCTCTATTTCTATCTTGTCATCTCTGTGTTACATTACAGAGATTTATTCACCTGTTTTTTAGTTGACTACTTTGTATGAAGATTTAACTATTCATTGAGGTTGTTTTTTTTTTATCCTCACCCAAGGACATTTTTCTATTTTTTGTTCAGATAGAGTGGGAGGGGAGAGAGAAAGAGAGAGACATCGACGTGAAAGGGACACATCAAGTGGCTGCCTCTGCACAACCCAAGCTGGGCCGGGGACAAACTGCAACCGAGGTACATGTCCTTAGCAGGAACTGAACCCAGGTCTCTCTGGACCGCAGGCCGACACTCTAACCGCTGTGCCAAACTGGCCATGGCTATTCATTGTGTTTTTAATTTAAATGAATTAATCTTTTATTTCCAGAAGTCCAATTTGGTCCTATTTTAAATCTGCTTATTCTCTGCTCATAGTTTCCTTTATTCTACTATTATTTTGATTTCATCTTTTACTTCTTTAATTATTTTAAACATAGTAACATTTATAGTCTCTTTTAGAGTGTTCTTTAGGTACCAATTTTGTTGACTATCAAGTCTTTTGATTTATCCTTATTTCCTGATATGGTTTGTAATTTTTTACTGTGAGCTCATCTTAAACACTGCTGGTCTTTCCTGCGGGAGCCCTGTGCACCCTGGATCATGGGTTTGTCCTGTAGTGAGGATTTACATTTGGTTTTGCAAGGGTCCCAGAGTTTCCATGGGCCTTGACCAAATTTGATTTTTTTGTTTGCTTGTTAATCCTCACCCAAGAATATTTTTTCATTGATTTTTTTTTAGATAGAAGAGAAGGGAGG